GACCGACGTGACAACACCACCATCAATTGACTTCTCAACGAGCACATCAAGAAAAGGTAGACGATGTTTGTAATGAGCCTGAAGTGTGTCCTTTTTATGAGTATTATCGCATTTTTGTCTCAGAGGAAGAAGGTAAGGACATTTTGTATTATTGTTTCGCGATATCGTATTTTATGGAATATAATTTTACCTCATTGGCTCAACAGGTCAACGTAAAAAGGCCAGAAAATCCGTTTATAATGAGTATTAATGAGATAAAAAGGAAAAGAAGGAGCAAGCCAAAAGCGGATGAAGTGAGAGAAAAATAACAATCCGCAATAAATTCTGCAAATTGTTTTGCCTAACTCATATTCAAACTGATTGAAACGTTTTTGCAATACAATGATGTAGCCAATCAACGGAAAAAAACATTTCCATCAGTTCTAGTAACATGTACGATGAGCTAGGCAAAAAAGCATAGTGTAGGGCCCTGAGCTTCCAAGCTCTCTCGTTTTTTAAGAGCCTGTGAGCAATCATTCCTTGACATTGGCTTAACAGTACGTCAAAAATCGGATCCAAGTATCTAGAAAGGGAAAAGACATCTTTCATAGCCGACGTTTGATGGTGACTCAAGCTAATGGGGACTCAAACCCTCTCCAATATAATCAACATCGAGTGACACAGACGCACACAAAAGAAAATGAGTCATACGATGTGTGAAAGTTTCAACTTCCGTGCTTCCGTGCGTTGAACGCAAAACCAGTTTGCGCAGCTAGTGCACGCATGCCCGGCATGTGGGCTCGTGCATGGAAAACCTGTACGCATTGCTGCGATCGCGAGGTCCTGTACGCACTAGCTGCTATCCGCGGAAGCCGGCGCTGTACTAGCCTGCAGCATGCAGTGTCAAATCGGAATGCTTTTTGTTTCAAGCTCCTGCTCTGTAAGTCGTCTATCTCCTGCCAAAGTCAGAACAAGTGAAATACTAGTAGCTAACATTATGTCATTGTTCCTGGACATGTAAAGCGGAAGGACTAGAAATGAATCTTGACTACTGCTCAGAGCACTCTATACATGACATGCAGAGTTCGAGTACCAATCATCATGATCTTTGCTTTTAAACATGAAACTCTGAGTTGACATGTATTTTTGTTCCACTGGATTCCAGCTGAAAGACTATGGAGAGGCTGGTTCGGGAAAAGTGCTGTGCTGGTCATTGTGATGTGACAACAATGTTTGAAATTTGATGTTGTGCCCGCAGTCAATTTGTGATTCCTCTTACGCCATACGAGAGAAGAAAAGCCTTCAGACTACTCTTGCTAGGTAGATCATGTCTCTCAAGTGTATACCGATCCCGCCAGCAATGGGCATGTGGCCGGTTTCGAAGGAAAAATTACATAATTATACTACGCAAAAATAAGCACACTTTGCTTTGGGGTGGCGGAAGTATGAAGATGACATTCAGACAAAGACAAATAATAAACTTACAAAAACACGGCGAAATGGACATGCAATCTCAAACCTGAAATCTGGGAAAGCGCCAGGTCTAGAGGGTATCACGAACAATATGATAAAGAAGCTAGCTCCTGCGATTTCTTTTCCACTTAGCCGCCTATTTAACCTCTCCTTTACCACAGGCAAGTTCCGTACTGACTGGAAACTGGCTAAAATTGTGCCTATTTACAAGTGCAAAGGCAGCAAATCTCAAGCTCGTAACTATCGCCCAATTTACCTCCTGTCCTGTATTTCCAAACTTTGCGAACAGCTCTTCTTCAATCAATTATATAATCATATTTCTCGTGCTCTGGATCCCGCGCAATCTGGGTTTCGTCGTGGTGACTCGACCGCTCTACAGCTCACCAAGCTGATCCAAAACATTGCAGACCATCGTCATATGGGGCGGAAAGTTGCCATGTGCTTTTTCGACCTCGAGAAAGCTTTCGACACCGTGTGGCACCGTGCATTACTTGCTAAACTTTCCAAAGTTTTCGGTGTGTGTGACTCAGCGCTGGAGTGGATTGCAGACTACCTATCCGACAGAACGCAAGTTGTCTTTGTAGGTGGACTTCTCTCAGATGCTTCACCTGTTCTGTCCGGAGTGCCCCAGGGATCCATCCTAGGGCCCCTCCTTTTCCTAGTGTATATTAATGATCTTCCCAGTCATGTTGAAGGTGTGTCCTTATTTGCTGACGATACTGCACTGCTGCGGTTCAATGAGTGTCTAGACAGGCTGCGCGACAGTCTCCAGCGCGGTATCAACGAAGTCCATCAGTGGATGACTACCTGGAGACTAAGACCTAATATCGCCAAGACTGAGATATTATTCCTGCCGAACTCAGAGCCAACCCATGCATTCACTCTTCCCGGATCCCTCACAGACCTCACAGTGGTAAAACAACACAAGCATCTTGGTTTGGTCATTGACTCAGACTTATCGTTTAGTAGACATGTCGACTATATCTGTAGCAAAGTCAGTAAAGCTGTTGGCTACCTCGTGTCTCACTGCTCCCACCTACCGCTTGAATGCATTCGCCTTTTGTATCATTGCTATATTCTCCCCATTTTTCTCTATTGCTCAACCGCCTGGTCATCCCTACTAAGTAAATCGTTAATGAGTACCCTGGAAGTCCACAATAGGAGGATACTCAAAGTCCTTTTCCGCAAACCATCATACTTTCCTTCTGCCGAGCTGTATGATATGTTTAACACCTTCCCCATCTCTAGTCAAGCGGATCGAAAACTGTGTATTGTTGTTCATTCTATTCGTCTTGACAATGCGTAAATATAACTGGTTTCTTCCCACTCGTCCTACGCGCAATCCCTGCACTTTACCTAAAGCCCGAACCTCAGCTTATACCAGATCTCCGTTTTTCGCTGCCTATTCTCTCTGGCTGGCCCTGCCTCTATCAGTAAAATCGTCTTGTACGCTGAAGGATTTCAAGGCCAACATGAAGCTCGTGTTCTAATAACTGCTAATTCTTCATCCAGATTTGTTTCTCTTTGCCTCCATGATCCAGTAATGTGTAATATTTATTTATTTTTGCTTTGTTTTTGTTTACTGCCATGGCTGGCTACCGCCCCCCTCCCTCCATATTGGCCTATATTCTCTGGCCACGGGAAGGTGAAATAAATAAATAAATATGTGAGAGTGGTCTTTAAACTGCTCACTTTTCACCACTGAGACTGCATCCATGATCCTTTATAGCAAGCAACTATCATAAGGGTTTTGACGATCTTCTACCCATTTGCGACCACACCAGTCACAGAACCAACAGTTTGGTGAGAGAGAATGCATTTCAAGTGACTTGGAGGAAACGACTGGACAAATGACACTAAGTCAAGACAGGACAAAGGAATATAATTATTGTTGAGGCGCGAGGGAATCGTGCGGAGGCGGAAGCGAAAGAAGTGCAAATTGTGCTACGAACAGTCCCAAACGGGAAGTGATGCTAAGACGGTAGGCGGCCAAACACTAAGCCGTCCCAACTGGGAAAAGTACGGAAGTTGTGCACACTGGCGGACAGAAGATGGTGCAACAGCATGTACAACTTGAAGGTGTGAAAAACGCATGTTGAGCAAAAGACGGTGCTGCAGCATGTACAGCTGTGCAGCAGCATGTACAACAGTGCAGCAGCATGTGCAATGGAGTGACACAAGTGCAGCAGCATGTACAACATGCCTGTACGCATGCAACATAATATTATTCTTTCCTAGTGTGCAGGTCAAATGCAGTCTTTGTTATGGTAATACAGTGTATGTACAGCCTGTGTTTTTTTGTTTTTTTTTTGTTTTTTTACTATTATTCACAAACCCAACTCGTAAAATAGATAATTATGTGGACAAAAACAAACAGCTATTGTGTGTGGATATGGGTATACGTATAGCTCATGGCATTCCATGCTCTGATCAATTGACACCAGTTGTTCCACACCAGCAACCATATAGCCCAACTCAACCTCTTGTGCTCAGTTGTGCCTTGCTATGCTTGTGCAGTCCACACCACGTGCACACACACACGGTGACACTGCATGCACACACAAAACACACCATGCACCTTTTTGTGCTTGTGAGGAAATATGTTAAAATTCGTTGCTGTCCACACCATGTGCACACACACAGAGTGACACTGCATGCTCACACACACCCCGTGCACACACACACACACCACATGCACCTTTTTGCCCTTTTGAGTTTTGACGCCCATCACCAAGGCGATGATAGCGATGCTACAGCAGAAGCCATAGCAACTTGTGCTGGGATTGCACCATTCAACAGCTTACAAGGCTGAAGAATTGACCGCCACTATTCTGAGCCTGGTCTACACCACACAGCTATTTGAAGAGGCCTTTTCTGGCAACGGAATCACTACTTTTTCGTTTTCATTTTTTCCAGCACACGCACATCACACCACATACTCCGCCATCTACTGGCTGTTGGGAACCACCGAGGATTTTTCATACCACTTGTGTGCACACACACACACACACACACACACACACACACACACACACACACACACACACACACACACACACACACACACACAAGGTATGCGCTAAGGATTTAAATGTTTTCTGACACAATGTCCTGCCAGTTGCAAAAATGGCCGGACATGTCCGGACATGCAAATTTTCACATCAAATCACACAATGTTCAGTGTAGAATTAATACCACCGAAATGTTATCACGGCGAAGGAGTGAGAAACATTCTTGCTGCTGCGAATTTTATCAACAAAACTGGAATACATCTTACACTTCAAATTTTCGACAACGCTACGATCTGAGGGACTGCGCTCATAGCTCAGCCAAACAGAAGTTGAAAGCATCCGGAAACTGACCGTACACGGTCGGAAATTGTCCAATGTCCAACCGTTATTTCGCGCCCTGCACACACACACACACACACACACACACACACACACACACACACACACACACACACACACACACACACACTATTGGTCCAGGCATAATGGTTAGAACAATGCGTCCTGTTTTTCTTGTGTAATATTCGCTGTCTGTAGATTTCTTCACAACGGTTGTCAAGAGCAACTTACCACAGATCATTGCCAACCTAGCGACTGTACCAGATATAGTGCTCACTGAAGTATTTGGAGATTCCATCCTGGATGAAGAGTGTATCAGCACTTATCGAACAGCATGTGAGGTGGCCGGTCATGTGCGTTATCTTCCAATTTGCTGTCAAGCAGCAATCGGGGCGTCTTTGCTGTACCCAGTGCACAGCTTTCTGTTTCTCTTTTATTCCTTGCACCACCCTGAGCTCACTCAACGACTGGATAAAGACTTCCGGATCAAGATCGACCATGAGGCAGGATGTGATGGGAGTAGTCTTGTCCAACTGTTGAATTTGGCTATTGATTCACAGAGAGAGGGTAAGTGACAATTTGAGGACTGCGATGACGATAAAGAATGACCATGATAATGAATGCTAGTCATTGGATGATGCTGTTCTTTGTCTTAGTGTGCATACCAGCTGAAGTTTGTATGAAATTACGGTTGTCTTATACTAGCAGAAATGTTAATGATATTTTCTGCTCTTAAAACCGTGCCTTTCCCGGTGACTTGACTTGACACTTGACTGACTTACGACCACCATCCAGATCACACAAGAAGTTCATCAAAACTTCAAAGTCGGCGGGAAAGCTTGAGCTTCAATGTTGGGAGCAACTCACCGTTCTGATGAAATTAATTATCGCCCATTTGGCAGAGACTATTTGATAGCATAGTAAAGTAGCCTAAAAACTAGCCTGTTGTGTTTGTGGAAATCACCAGCATATTGTTTAGTAATGTCGAAATGTGAATTTCCTAAACGTTATGTACTATCAATCCAATCAAGACTCGCAGAGAATTCTTTTGTGATTCTTGTGATCTCATTTTCATATGCAGGAGGTACCGCAATATCAATGGGGAGCGATGAAGGTGTGATTGCAGTGCGAGAAGGACCGGGTAATACAGCTGAATTCATGACCCTTTTTAGGGAAATGCATGCAAAGTTTGTCAGCATGAGCCTTAAGCAAGTAATCCAGCGCAAGCTTTACAGTGTCCTGCGCATTAAGATCACCTTTCTTAGCGCGACCGGCAAAACTGAGCGTGCACAGAGTTAACGAGGAAAATCTCAGCCTGACAATAAATCCCACTGCAAATTGGAGCGCCGTGGAAATCAGTGCCCGCAAAGTCAGCGCACAACACCCCAGCGAGACAAAAAAGCGCACGATTAAGTTAGTACAACCTGATTCTGCAGTGATCATTGTTATTTATGTGTCACACTCAGGGGCATCATACACTTTAGGACCGGTAAGACCACGGTCGTACCACTTTTCATACGACGTGGTCTGCCCAATTCATCCAAAAAGCAGTGAAAATTTCATAGTATTATGCACTTCTACATACACTTGTGCATACACTGTGCACATAACTCACGGAGTTGACTGGAAGTAGACCAGGGTATGCATATGTGCCCTTTATTGGTACTGTTCTGTCTGGACCCACGGTTGTTGCCAGTAGACTAGTATACCGAGTACTAGGCAGTTGTATTTAGTGCTGGGTGCTATGTGCTATGTAGTTACATTGACTGTTGCTGGAGTGTCCAAGTAAACATGGTAGTCTAGATGTACATGTATGTCTTCAGCTCACACACACACACACACACACACACACACACACACACACACACACACACACACACACACACACACACACACACACACACACACACACACACACACACACACACACACACACACAGTCACAAAGACAGTATACTATGCAACGAACACCTAGCCTACAGGATACCAGTTAATCAGCTATGGTAGATGTATGAGATGTTGACATGTCATGTCGGCATGGAGACGGCCTTTCCACGGTAACTGGAGCCGCGAAAGAACTGTCTACTTGGCTTACTTAGCTTTCTGTTGTGGTGATTCAATGGCAGTATGAAAGGGAGGAATGCCCCACATAATCAAATTATCGACCTGAGAAATGTCGCAGAGCATGTGATTTCAGCAGACGTGTCACATGATTGGCTGGTACTGGTTTGAACAGTGCTAGGATAAGAAGTGCTATGGAAATGTTTTGCACTGACACGCAGTGCATGACCACAGATACCAGGCATGCGGATAATGGGGTGCAACTTCAAGAGATTCTGTACCATCCTCTCTATACCATCCTCTTCTAAGGTTAAAGTTGCTCAAATGCACAGCAGCCAGGTACATGCCACTGAAATGCTCATGCTCAAAGGGTCCTGCTAAACTGTTCATGTTGAAGTTCTGGTGCTGAAATGGGATTAATCCGGGTGTTCTAGGCTAGCTAGACCCAATTCATCCTGAACTTATCCTTCCCATTTTCTTCAATAACTTCTTCCTCATATCTACATCACTTGTATTGTGCTTTGTTCTGGTGTATGTGTATATATTGTGCAGCTGATAATGGCCAGTACGCAGCAGCACTAAGTGAGCTGATCAAGGAAGGTGTCCAGCTGATACCGTACGGGCGCCTGATAATGTGCGGGCCGGGCCGCACAGGCAAGAGCAGCTTCCTGCGATCCCTCCTGCGTCAAGCATTCATGTCAAAGGTCGATAGTACCATCGGTGTGGAGCTGGAGAAGGTGATATGCACGATCGAGAAGCAAGGGTTAACGTATGTATGGAAGCAAGCTGAAGATTCTTACCAGCAGCAGTTGGCCCTGACGCACAGAGCTGTTGGACAAGAGCAAAGGAAGAAAGAGATAGTAGCAGCACTGAGACAACAAGGTGTGGAGATCCCAAAGAACACCAGGTCCACATCCTCCATGCCATCAACACCCATGACATCACCATCCGCTGTGATTGAGACTGAGCAAGCAGATGCAGCCAGTGTGTGTGAATCTGCTGTCAGCCAACAGGATGAAGCCACCCACAACGGGTACTCTGGTCAATCAGCTACCAGTTCATCTGACACCATGGTCTCTCAGAATGTTTCCACTGCATCCAAGCCGGAGGAGGTCTCAACCATGAGTGTAGAACAGGTAGCAACAGCAGAGCAAGATGTGCAGCAGCTACAGACGGAGATCAACTCAGCAACGCAGAAGTTTGAAGGCTTCATTGAAGATCTGAAGAAGGGCAAAAGTGAAGTTTTCACTGCAGAGCATCTGAAAAACTTGACATTCATGGACGTCTGGGACTTTGCGGGTCAGAAGCTGTTTGCAGCGATCCAACACATGGTCCTGGCTTGTGACCGATGTGCGTATGCTGTTGTGTTCGATGCGTCAAAGAAGCTCCAGGACAGAGCAAAGCCGACGTTTGGTGTGGACGGTGAGGAACTGCCGCTTTCCAACAACCTGGAGCAGACCAACTTTGATGTGATGGAGACATGGTTCAACGCTATCCACGAGGTAATTGGAGACAGTGACAAGGTGCCCGTGTTCGCCATTGGCACACACGTGGACAAGTTACCAAAGAAGCCAGAAGCAAGGAAGAAGGCAACTGAAGAGATAAAGAAGTACATATTGGCCAATTCAGAGGGCAAGGCCTACGCCAACAACATCGACAAGGTGGTTTTTGTGGACAACACACGAGCTGGCAAGGATCCAGAAGACCCAGCAGTTGTTCAGCTACGGCAAGACATCGTCCAACAGCTGCAGCATCAGTTCAATGTTCCAATACCAATCCGCTGGCTTCCTGTGACCATCTCCATTGGGCACATTGCAAAATCGTTTGAACGACCATGGTTGTCGGTTGAAGAGCTACGTCGCTTGGCCATTGCTGTTGGTAGTATCTCCAGTGATGATCCTGAGTCCGATTTCCAGGAGATGGTGAAGTTCCACCATGGTCTTGGTCATTTGCTTCACTTTGTTCACAATGCCCGTCTTCGTGATCGTGTGATCATTGACATCCACTGGGTTCTGAAGACCATGTCACTGCTCTTTTGTCCTGAACCAAAGGATATGCAGAGCAAGCGTCTTCGTCCACAGTACGACTTGCTGACTCAGGATGGCATTCTCCTTGAAAGTCTTGCCATGCACCGCTGGTCACAGCACAATCGAATGACATCGCGCTACACAGCCACAGAAGAACAGCGTGATTTTCTGTTCGAGATGGGTGAGCACTTTGCCCTGTTCTACAACACCAAGACATCTGTGAGCGTGCCTGGTCAGAGAAAGGAGGTGACAACTCGCAAGTTCTTTGTACCAGCACTTGTGGAGCGAGTTGCACGTCTTCAAGATGAATTGAGCAAAGGCAAGCCAAGTTCAGCTATGTACCTTTACAGTGGTGCAGATCGTTACTTTCCACAAACCCTGTTCTGGTGTGGTGTTGTGAGGTGTATGCAACGCTACAGTCCAAAGGTGGATCCAATTCTCTATCACACATCGGCACGTATTCTGGTGAAGGATCGCTTCTGGCTGGTCATGCAGTATTTCCAGCATGGCATTCGCCTGTCACTGGAGATTCCTGTCGCAGCTGGCACGGCTAAGTCTTCTTCTACCGATGCTGCCACTCGCATGGACAAGTCAATTGGCTCTCCTGGTGTTGGTACCGCAGCAAACGAGGATGATTCCGCTGCAGTCAAGCTTTGTCATGAGCTTCTACCATACCTGGAGTCGGAGCTTGACAATCTGAAGGCATTCTCCCTGACTCATGTGAAGTTTAGCAGAGCTGTTCGCTGTCCATGCTCGTTCAGCCGAGATGCGTGTCGCAAGCACAAGAAGAAGGGTTGTGCAGAGATTGGCTGTCAGCACTTTGCTCCACTGGTGGAGGGATTACGTCCACGTTGTACCATCGGAGGACGTCCAGAAGTGGATATCACTGATGTACGCCAATACTGGCCATGCTTTGCCAAAGATACACAGGTAAAAACTAAAAAGAGGTCATATTCAGTTTTCCTCAATATATTTTCCCCGTGCTTTGCGTTTACAGCCCGCCCGAGAGTATGTATATGTACAAGGCCAGTACATGTCAGAATGGTGCAGCTGTTAGGGCTCTGAGGCCAGTACATGTCAGAATGGTGCAGCTGTTAGGGCTGTGAAGGCAATCTCTTTTTCGGTAAATCAGTTTTCCAGATCCAAAAATGCAGTTCTCACACTGTGTGGCATGGAATTGTTGAATTTTAGTTCTCAGTTTATTTTAGGTAACAATTGCCTTTACTGAAGTTACTGAAAATAAATCTGCTCCTAAATTTTCCCTTTTCACAGTAGTGCTTGATACCCGGAATGAGTACAAGTATATTTTGCTGCACTTGCAAGACAATAGCAATAGAAACATAAGGAGTTGATGTGGACAAATGCAATAGGACTTGAAAATCCTATACCGCAGTCAGGCCAGGGTCATGACAGTGCTGAATTTACAATCCAATTGTATCTAGTTTTGTATGGATCCATGCACGTTTGAGTTGTTTCCTTCTCCGTAGGGTGACAAATCTACCCATAGTAACTGGACTGCTCCCAACCCCCCAGTAGTGGGGACCAACTTCTGGCACTGAGTCCAATTCAGTACACCTGCACTTGACACAATGAGAGCCTACCTGCCAGATATGTATTTTGCTATGGCCGGAGTGGATCCCCTGAAGTCGTTATCTGGTTATCTGTTGAGTTCTGACTTCATCATTTTTACTCCCGGCACAAGTCTACAGTAAAGGGATGGGGGATTGGCTGGTGTAAATCATTTTCTTTGTCTGCATACCACATTACTGTGTTTCATTGATTCTCTCCAGACCCCAGAGCTTGCTGATACTGAGAAGCCAATGCCGGCAATGCCAATGACAGTTGTGGAGCCCGCAGTCAAGGACAGTGGTGAGATGATTTCAGTAAAGTGTTCAGTTTAAAATATACCCTGGAAAGTACAGTGCTGCTCAATGAAATCCAATCATGTGAATCAAGTACATGCTGGGAGTTGTGCAATCCTAGACCTGCAAACCGTGACTGGTTTGTGACCTAGTGCAGTGCACTGACTACTTACTTGACTCACTCGATCAGATTTCACTGAGCATTCACTGTGGAATACGGGAATGCAGGCTGGAAAACGAGACATGAGAAGCTAGTTTAACCTGCCCATCCCTGGTAACTAGAGTGTAGGACACACTGGAATTGACCATAATGTCGGGTTCGAAGGCTGGATATAAGATTGGGATCATTCCTATAGAAACTTCTATTCAAGTCAGGTCGGTATTCAAACCAGTTATTTCAAATGTATGTCCTCAATAAAACCATTCTTGCGTGCCGATACCTCACCTTGAAGATCAGGCTTGTTTTCAAAACTGGCAGTCTTCTATCGAAGACAGCATGGCATGTGTACAGGGTCATTGGAGTGCAGGGTGATTGATGGGAAAAGGATACACGGGAATTCATTTGCACGCAGTCACTAGAGTAAAGGATGTATGCACGGGATGAGTGTTCAGGGAGTCAAGTACGGAATTGGGAATTCAGTGATTTGAATGGGGTCCTGGTTTTCCGGATGAATTGATGCAGCAGAAATTATTACCATGTTAAAAAAATATCGACAATGCAGTTGTCCGCTTTTGATCCATAGTGCCATGCCGCTGGGCTGGGCTGGGCTGGGCTGGGTTCTGCCCACATGTAACAGGTCAATCACTGGTTCCCACCTGCACCACAGCCTAGCGGCCCTACAAGCGCTTGTCATGTCGAATCTTGTTGCAATGACCATGACCATCTGTAAAAAAAAACCTAGTGCCGTGATTTCTTTATCTTCACCTCTCCATGCTCACATATCAACCATTGCCAACAAATATCTGCGTGATAAAATTGAGAAATTTGAGTCACTGAAAGGTGTGAATTATTTGCTGTTCCTGGTCCTTATGATTTGAATGAGATGTGTGAGGATAGATGACACCCATATTGTTCTGGAGCAGTGGTCCTGCTAAGGAGAAATGGAGAGGAGTGAATAGAGAGGTTGCGCAAAATGAAAATTCGTAACGCCGTAACAAAATAGTTTAACAAAAAATGCTAACGAATATTTGTAAACCGTGAGGTTGCGCACAACGTGTGAGCTTTTTCGTTGCAGGTCGACACAGGTCACGAAGAGTCAAGACAGGGAGTTGTAAAATATCATCATCTAAGGGTGCGTTCTTAAATCCTCTCCGAAAAGTTGGAGACTCTCCGAAAAGTGCGAGAGCTGTTCTTATATCCTCTCCGACTTTTAGGAGGCTCTCCAAAGCTCTCCAAAGCTCTCCAAGCTTCAGAGGTGGTTGAAACTTGGAGATTCCCGCGGTTTGGGATCAGCGCATGCGAACTACGACTAAAAGCCACGTGTTCATCATGAGTGTACGCATTTCCCTTTTCGCATACGCACATACATTCATCACTCAAGATCGCGGCCCCTTTGACGCTTCATTTTGCTTGACATGTGCAAAATATCTCCGAATTCTTCGAGACCCGTTCTTGAGTAATCCCAGTTTCTTCGACTTCTCTTTTCTTCTTCTTCTAGAAGTTAGAGAATATAAGAACGCACCCTTAGTACTCCACTTGACGAAAAATATTTTCGTAGATCTGCTTTGTTCCGGTCGCGTTTGGATGAATTTTCGTAGCAGCTTTCGTTACTCGAATCCGGACGGTCAAGATCTTACGAATTTTCATTGTGCGCAACCTCTCTAAGGCCACACCGTTTTTTTATCTATGTTTCGCGTCCCCCGCGCGCATGTATTTCACAGCCGGAGTTCAAAAAAAAAAAAAAAAAAACCAACAATTTTTTTTGGTAATGCAATACAAATTTAATGCAAACCCAGAAAACCGGAAAATGTAACTCAGTTCACACACACATAATAAGTACATGTCCCGTAAAGTACCACCAGAGCGCCTCGCCAGAGCGCCCCACCTTGATTTTACAGCCAGAGGAAGGAAGATCGTATGGCAATGTGCAACGAAGTTTGTACGATGTGAGAATCTTAGTGTACTAAGGTCACACTTGGCAGGTTTCTGTGTGGAACTTGTGTCCGCTCGAAGGTACGGATTGACTGCAAAACGTGCAATATGTGTACAAGGTTCATGTCGTATGACCTACAGACAGCAGACCACCTCCACAATACGACCACGAAAGGATGAGATGGTGGGGCGCTCTGGCGGTACTTTACGGTACTACATGTGTGTGTAATAAGCTGGGCCGCAAGTCACACAATCATCATGCCGCCTGTGTTTGGACCACAAGCATGGCAAAGGGGATACACTCATGTATTCATGTGCATGTCAATGTACATGAACAGTGCACCATCGCTTCACTGTACACAAATGCAATGCACGTACACTGTTTTTTTTGGATGGCTTTTTTATTTTTTTCGCCCTCCCTCATTGATTTCATCGAATAAGGTGACGCGAAACATAGAAAAAAACGGCGTGGCCTAATGTTACGTTTGTAGTCTTCTCCATGCACTTACTGTTTGACACTGTGTGCTCCTTTGTTCTCTGAACCGTAGAAGTTGCAGCAACAGCCCAGAAGCCCGCTGTTTCAAAGAGAGCTGCAGCCTACCAGCAAGCACTGTACAAGCATTATGCTGCAATACGAAGTAGCCTGGAAGGTTGCGTCCTTGACTGCGTCACCAGTTTGCGTGCAGAAGGTCACCTCAGTACCGAAGTCGTAATGGAGACCAGATCCCTGCAGAAATCAGCAGGGCAAGATGAGACTCTAGATCACATGTGTGCTCTTCTGGAGAAGCTCCCCGATGACGGAATGTGCTTCTTTGTGGAGGATATCCTGCTGTCGCAAGGTCTGTCACAGCTCGTGGAGACATTCCGTGTGTGTCCTGGTCCTGGAAAGTGTTCACTACATCGCAATGACCTGCATCCTGTATCAGTGTATTCCAGTGATAAGACACTGTCCATGCAGACTAGTGTTGATGCCTCCCAGACTGGTAATGTCAAGAGTAGTCAACTTGAGACTGGGGTAAGAACTCTGCTCTCTACTCTACTTTAAAATTCTGTTCGGTGATTGTACAGTGAAGCATACCCTAGCAACCAGTGTAATAACAAGCAGCAACACCTGTGTTTGGAATCCTATCGTATAGGGCTTGAAAGTGCTACGTCACAGCATAGCAACAATTTCAAAAATTCAAAAACTGGATCCACTTGGATCCAGCTTTTGTATGGATCCAAGCACATTTCAAGCCGTCTTACTCACAGCAAGGTGATGTAGCCAGTGAAACTGACTGATTTGGCTACTGGGGGCGGGGTTACAACTGGTGGCGAAGTAAAAGTCACCCCTGCATACGACATGAGCGGGTTGCTATGCACCCACATACTGAGTGTAGCAAGAAGGACCCATGAGTGTGTGTGATCCCCGGTAGCCTAATCGGTAGGGCACTGTCCCGGAAAGACAGGGGTGCTGGGTTCGAATCCCGCTCGTGGATCCTTCTTTTGCAACATTGGCGCCTGGCAAGGGCTCGAACCCACGACCCATCGTACCCCCCCCCCCCCCGCGAGTAGGTACGGCGTGAGCACAGCCTGTTGGGGCGGGGGAGCAGTGTAGCAAGAAGGACCCATGAGTGTGTGTGATCCCCGGTAGCCTAATCGGTAGGGCACTGTCCCGGAAAGACAGGGGTGCTGGGTTCGAATCCCGCTCGTGGATCCTTCTTTTGCAACATGAGGCAATAGCAAAGTCACACCTTAGTGGATCCAAAATAGAAATCTGATGTCAACTTACTACTCCCTGGCCGTTTTTGACGTCATCACTTTCAAGCCCTATTGAGGCACAGGCCATACATCACAATACATACAAACGTGTGAGATTCCTGTATAGAAGTATGTTTCTGTATTTCAGATGTGCTGCTCAGTGAGATTACCCAGCAAGCTTTTCTTAATACAGAGTATTTCCTATCAATCTATCTTCATGTCCACTGTAGATGTCTGAGCTTCACCAGGAAGTGCTGCGTTCAAGCTATGTGGAATTGAAGTGCAGTTTGGACGTAGAAGAGGGCATTCTGGACCGTCTCTATGCAGAGAGCATCATCACGCAGCGCTTCTGCAAGAAACTCCGTGCTATGGATGATCGTGAAGACCAGGTAACCATGGTAACACCGATGATCTATGTGTATTGTACATTGAACCCAGGATTAATATGATATTTTTGTGAATGTGTCAAATTGAGACTCATTTATTCAGGTGAAATCCCCTGCCTAAGTCTATTGGAATTTCCGAAAGAGGTAGCAAAGTGCAAGCAATGTCGATGTGAAGCTAGCTGTAGCCTTTACATGTAAACTAGCTACCCTTCTTCCCTTACACCACCACCACCACAGCAATGACCAGCATTAGGATAAAGGGATAGCTAGATGTACAAATGAGATTGGTGAGATGAAGAATCAAACTGAACTACACTTTAGGAATACAGAACAAGAACAGTTACTGTGGAACTGAAAAGTGACAACCGAGAAACAGTCACCAAAATAGATTGTAGGTCCATTGTATTCTTCCGCACGTACACACACACACACACACACACACACACACACACACACACACACACACACACACACATACACACACACACACACACACACACATACACACACACACACACACACACATACACACACACACACACACACACACACGCACGCACACACACACACACACACACACACACACACACACACACTCGAGAAGGACTCTATCACTTACGTGAAGTACCTTAATTTCTGAAGTATAAGCCGTACTGGAGTGTAAGCCGCACACAGATTATTTATCACGACGTACGGTGACATCTACCGATACGTCTTACGATACTTCTACCGATACTTCTACGGATACTTCTAATTTAGCGATTTGTCAATGAGCACATAGTCAAGTACTGCAATCGAGTAAATGGAAAAAAAAAGTAAAATATAGTATATAGTAGAAAATAGCATTACAGCTGCAAGCCTGCATCAGTACAGCTTACGGATGGCATCAGCAGCAGGCAAAGCCAGTTGTTCTACAATTCTAGTTTTTAAAAGCTGCTTATCAAGAAAATACTGTGTGTATGGGTGTCTTTTTCAAGAAAACACTGTGTGTATGTTTGTGTGTTTTGTAATGTTGTTCTGTACAGGCATCTGTCTTCTTGGAAGCACTGCCAGGCTGTGGCAAACAGGCTTTTCGCCAGTTTGTGTCCGCTCTGAAAGAGAGTGAGAAGTTGGCTCACCAGGAGCTAGCTGATCTACTGAAGAAGAAGCTGCTGGAAGTTTCCGTAAGTTGATGGTAACTTTAACATGCACTTGCCCGCTTGGCTGCTTGGAAGGTGGTGGTGGGGAGAGTAAGGTGTACCCACCAGATAAGTGTTGCTAATACCGTAAAATCCCCACCAGAGCGCCCCTACCTCCGCCACCCTTCGAGTAGGTCCAGGTGGGGAGGGGCAGATGGCGAGTCCTATTTACCGCATTGAGTACTACATGAAAAAGTACCTACCCTACAAAAACTGTCCGTGCATCACCGGGGTACACCTACCAAAGGTCAAGACCCAGGAGTCGTACAGACCCATCAAAACTCAAGGTTTGTGCGATCCCTGGTCATGAGGGTGGGCACTGTTGCGTACATTTCCAACCGGGTCGAGCACGCGTCTGCAGCACAGTACGGCATCACAGAGTCATACGAGGATACAATCAATCACTTCCCTGACAAGAAGTCAGGCAGGGACGCATGGCGCTGGCGGGATTTTACGGTACATGTATTCACCTATGTTTTAATTTGAGATATGCTGTATCTGTCCACTGGCTGTCCCATGATTCCTAACATTTGATTTTTAGCTAATCACTCCTAAAAGGTGATGTTAGTGAATGTATCGGGTAAATTTCGGATACGAAATGTTTCCTACACCGGGCTTCCGTGCACTTGCGAAGGGAAGTGTGTTCCATACAGGATTAGCTGGGACAAGAGCTTGTAAAGTGCAGTTTGAAGATGTTTAAGAAGACTACAAAAATGTGCTTAGACCACTGGACATGTGCATGGAGAATACAAACGTATAGACAGCCACTTGGCTTTGCTATGCTGAGTGTTTCTGCATGCAACGTGTTATAAATCCATAAGAAAACTTCCCACTATAGCTAACAGTACAGTATTCCTTTCACCCGGATAATCCCGTTTGAAGTCGTCCAATCTGGTTGTACATAGTTCAGGGTAGGAGCTGTCACTGTGAATGTGAGGGATGGGAACTTATTTGAATACTGCAGTGGTGAAGACCGTACATGATTGGTGTACCCGGTGATCTGGCACCACCCTAGTTGGGCTAGGCCTGTGTTCTCTTCAGATTGTCTGAAATACAGCATGGCTGGAAAAGTGTAACCGTAGTATTACTATTAGCAAGAGTACATAACCGCCGAAAGTATGCAACTCCAGCTATGGGGTCTGCAACGGCAGAACTTCACATTACGTACCGAACCCGTACACATTATTTGCACTCTGTGCATGATAGATGCAGGGTTGTACGCTGCCCTGCTTTGGGTTCAACTCTCTTGTGGTCACTTTGCACTGTTTGCCAGCGTAACCTTTTGAACTGTGTCATGTGACATGAAGTTCTGCCGTCGCAGCACTGTACAGAGGTTGTGGGCTTATGTGCTCTTGATATTCGTGTTCCGGAAAATTTAACACTGAGATTCTTTCGAAATGCCGTGTTCAACTCTAAATACGTATGACCAGAGTTCACAAATAAGGTCGAACAAGGCTATATTATATGCGATTGGGGATTTTGCCCTTTTGCTATCAACAGGCAAAATTATTTTAATACAAAAAAATGAGAAATGAGTTGTATTATATATTCCAAAGGACCAATGGTTCATAATCCAACAACCTCTCGTCCTCTTCTCTTGGTGGTCTCAGCTGACACGTTGCTACGCTCGGCGCGGTAGCCATGGTACCGCTCACATTTTTATAACGAAGGGTTGGTATCAAACGGTTATACAGTTTGTTTCAGAATCATCAACAAAAGGCTGCATACGAATTTCATCAGCTTAGTGCTCCGAGCATCAATGAATGTCTCTATGCATTGTATGCTTTGTCCGTGCAGGGTCTGTCTTGAAGTGGCTGCCACAGCAGCCATGAACTTCCAAGTACCCGCAAAGAGTTTGTCAGAGTGGCGTTTGGAGACACCGCTGAACGGTCGCGTGGGTTCAATCCAATATTTTTCGGGTCTGCCGAAGTTTTCTACAGTTGTGTGCCTTTTAGTCTTGCCGTCTTGATATCTTTGCTGGCATTCCAGCTGGCTAAGGTATGCTTGAACAAATTTTGTATATTTTCGTTAGAAACAGCACACAGTGAGATGCTTCGCAATGCAAGCTTGTAATTGTATAATATAATAAAATCCACGCTGTACTGCAGTGCTAGTCGATGCTACGTGTCTATATCCAATGCCTCGGTATCGTTATGTTTTGAGCACGGAGACTAGTCCCCTTCGAGATGAATTCCAGGCCACTGACGGTTACGCTGAAGAGCCTATTGATCAAACAACCAATGCTGTTTGCAGATATGTGTCTATGGAGGTGGAAGCATATTAATTTTCATATTTTCCGCATATTGCCACGAAGATTCTATTTTCGTAGGTTCAAATTTACAAGTGTGCTGCGCAAATTTACAAGTTTACTATACGTTTTTAAGTTTCACAACCGGTGGCCTATGTTTCAAGCTTAGCCAGTGATGATTTGCAATTGCAGTCCAGTGCATTGCCTTCCTGACTACAGCATCAGAAAAGAACGTGCCTGAAAGAATGTTCACGTCCGAAAGTTGCATTGCCTGAGATTCATGCATGGGGAGAGGTACTCAGATTGCAAGTTTGTTGTTACTTGAGCGTTGTCATGACCCCGCGCTGGTTGTGGCAAACGTGTAACACTTTGTAGCTCTATAATATCCTCATGAAAACTGGTTACAGAATTTTAGAGTAACTCTTTAGTGTATGGAGATAATGACTAGGAGCTCACAATTATC